TGTGGGAGGCCAAGACGGGAGGATTGCTTGAGCCCAGGAGTTAGAGACCAGCCTAAGCAATGTATCGATACCTCATCTTTTATTTATTTATCTATTTATTATTTTTAACATATTTTTTATTTTAAAATTGTGGAATACAGTTAAGGGTTGGGTGTACAAATATGCACTGTTCAGGCACCCTTGTTGATAAGGGGTGTTCCCCCATCCCCAGACAGATATGAACAGATATTGAAGCAAGGAGCTCAAGGAAAAATGTAGTGTCTTACCACTTGGAGACAGAGAGGTACAACAGGGAGCTTTGGGTTACAGCCTGAAATTTTTTTCTAAATCAAGGCCTAAAAGCAAGGGGGCTTGGTGTTTCCAAGAGGAGGGCAGCTTGCCACTCAGTCCCACTGTTATGGGTGGTGGGTGCCAGTCCCTTGGAAGACCCTTGCCTTCTCTGTGGCCCTGGGGATGGCGGGTCCTCTTGGCTGGTACATATGAGGAGAAGGTAAAAAGATGCTGAGGTCTTTCCTCATGCAAGCTTTTTGTGTTTTGTGAATACCTATCCTTTGAGAGCTGGGACTCATGGAAGCCGAGCATGGGGTCCTGTCCTCCCTCCTTCCCGCCAGCCCTGCCAAGCCTTTCATGGAACACCAGGGAGGATGCCAGCGTTCTGCTGCTATAGCCTCCCTGAGGAAGTTTCTCAGCCCTCTGCAGGGGCAGATGTAGCCGGGGTAGCAGAAGGTGTTCATGCAGAGCACCCAGATGTCCCATCCCCACGAAGCCTTGCAGCCAGCATAGGTCATGCAAAGCCCACAATGCTCCTAGAACAAACCTTGTGTGGCACTGCCAGGTGGAAAATGCAGGTCAAGTGCCCAAAACAGACCAAGCAGAGCTCTCAGGCCTAGAGCACCTTTCGAGGTTTCCTGTAAAAAAAAAAAAAGCAGAAACTTTCTCTCTAGGCCATGGATAAATGAGCTAAGGACAGATGCAGAGCGATGATTATTTATCATCCCAGCCCAGAAAGGGTCCTGGGAGACTTGTCCTGGCCCTGGGACTCAAGTTGAGCAGCATCTACTTCCCTCATTATTTCTATTTTTAACAGTTGTGCCTGGGCCTCCCATAAGAATAGCAAGAAGGGAGACTACTTCAAGTGCTAGCATGCTCCCCTTTGTCAGAAAGTCATGGGGTGCAGGAAAAAGCAGCTAGGACTCCAGCAGCGTGGTAATGGCAGGACTCAGCCCTTAGCAATGTTCTGACCTGTTGCCCAACAATGCCACCGTGTAAACTGAGGCCAGAGAGGGTGATACAGGCCTGAGCCCATTCAGCAAGTGAGGTCCCCAAGCAGTGGGTACTGACCCTCTGAAATGCAGGGTCTGGAGTGAAGAAGAAGACATGTGCATCCTATGGTTGACAGTGGGCCCTTGGACCTGCCTGCTGCTCACTCCCTCCTCTGTTGTCCACTGCAGACAGTATGTCCAGCCTCACAGAAGCAGGGCACTGCCCATGTCCCACACAGGGAAGGAGAAAGGAATGTAGAGTACACTTGAGAGTCCTCTTTGTGCATACAACGTGCACACGTGTGTATGTGTGCATATGCATGTACTCATTTACAAGTGTGCACACATAAATGTGTGAACGTGAATAAATACATATGTGTACTATGCATAGGCATGCACATGTGAATGGACACCTGTATGTATGTACAAATGTGTGGGTATGTGCACCTATGCACACCTGTTTTTGTGTGTTATGTGAACATAAGCATGTGTGTGTTATATACACGTGTATGCATGTGCACAGTCACTCCCTCTAGGCCAGAGGGACAAGGCTTCTCTAAAAGGGTGGAGGCTCCAGCTAGCCATCTGCTTCCCCACCTGGGAGACTGGCTTCAGCCACCACTCTCACCTCTTCTCCCTCTTCATCATGAAGCCAGAATCTCTGGGGACTGTGTTATAACTGTGTCAACCCTGGGACCCAAGTCCCTGCCACCCACAGCTGTTAGAGTCACTGAGCAGGGGTATGTCCCCAGGGGACAGGACTGCATCTGAATTGCCTGACCAGTGAGAGCCTGGGCCTGATGCACCACAGGGTCCACTCCCCATTTCCACCTCCATCGCTGTGTCATCTGGCTCCAGGCCCAGACAGACTGGTGGCTGCTGGGGAGAGGATGGAGGAGAGGAAGTAACACAGCTTTGCTCTAAGGCAAGCCCTCCGAGGGTCTCCAGCCCACCTGCCCTATGAAGCAGCCTGAGTCACAGGTGATCCCTTGCTGTCCTCCTCAAACACACATCCTCTAGGCAACTGAGCCTTGCCCTTACATGAAGGCTGCACTCACCTTCATCATCCACCTCTCATTAACTTAACAGATGCCACCAAGGGCCACTAGGTCCTCAGGCTGGGAAGGCAAAGAACTGATGTGGCGGCTTCTGTGACAAAGAACAAGACACATCATCTTTAAAAAAAAAGAAGGAAAACGTTTCAGATATGGGCTGGGAGAAAAGAAAGTGCCTGGGTCCTCTTCTCCGCCTTCCAGGTCTTCCCCAGGGGAGGTGTGAAGGGAGGCCATCCAGAGAGCCAGTGCTCAAAGAGAAAGAAACAAAAAGCCCCAAATAATCGGAGGCAACAGGACAGCAGAGGCCACATCCATCCAGAACCTGCAGCAGTTTGTGAATTTTTTGTATGTTCAGGGACACCACCCCTCGCCCCAGGATAACAGTTTATTTTATTATTATTTCTTTATATGTTGATTCAAAGTCTCACTCCATCACCCAGACTGGAGGGCAGGAACACAGCTCATCCCAGCCTCAACCTCCTGGGCTCAGGGGATGCACCCTCCTTGGCCTCCTGAGTAACTGGGACTACAAACACACAACCATGCCCAGCTATTTTTTTAACTTTTTTAAGGATGAGGTCTTTACACAAATCAAAAAATTAACCAGGCATGGTGGTGCACACCGGTGGTCCCAGCTACTTGGGAGGCCAAGGAGGGCAGATCGCCTGAGTCCAGGAGGTTGAGGCTGTGGTGAGACATGCTTCTGCCAATGCAGTTCAGTCTGGGTGACAGAGTGAGACCCCCCCAATTCAAAAAAACAAAACAAGACAAAACAAACAAGCTGGGTACAGTGGTTCAAGCCTGTCATCTCAGTACTTTGGGAGGTGGAGGTGAAAGGACTGCTTGAGTTCAAGGTTTCGAGACTAGCCTGGGGAACTTGGCGAAACTTCATCTCTACAATAAATTTTTAAAAATTAGCTGGGTGTGGTGACACATGCCTGTAGTTTCAGCTCTGGGTAGGATAGACTTCCTGTGCACTTCATTGTGTAAGGTCATTTAAATAGAGCTTGCTTCACTTGCAAATAAGAGTCTTTACTGAAAATATAATATTTTGTTGATTGATGTGTCTTAATACCTATAAACTTCAACTTCCATCTATTTGCTAATTATTATCCTCATCATGTATTTGAAATCTTTTACTTACAACTTCTGTGTTCTTATTTCTGCTCTCTCAAAACTTACATCTAAATATGACCTATCATAGCCTTTTTAGCATCATTTCTCATCATGACTTTTCAGTTTTAACTCTTCTACTAATTACATTTTCATACTATGTCTAAGTAAATTTCTCAAAAGAAGGAATCTGGTGGCCACAGCATGTTTTGTTCTCAAGAAGGATTATATGAGGAGGGAATCAAAGAGACCCAGAATTTATTTATAAAATATTGTGTATCTATTCTTTCATGTTTAAACTTCAGTTGCCTTCGAAGTACTTGCTGTTTGATGTGATACACCTATTGAGATGCATTTCCCATTGCTCAAAATAGTGTTTGAACTCATCAATTTTGGTGTCTTTTAATGCTTCTACTGTTTTTTGTTTCACTTCTTCCACATCAGTAGTTTCCTTTTGAGAACTTTTTTCATCTCAGGAAACAAAAACAAAAAACAAAAAAAAAGTTGTTCAGGGCAAGATCATGTGAATAGGTAAGGTGGGGCATGGGTCATGTTGTGTTTTGTCAAAAGCTGCTGAACACTCGGCATGGTGTGGGCAGATGTGATCATAAATCACCCATCATGAGATGAACAAAAGCTTTGGAAAAAATCCCTTCTCATCAAAAAAATAATTAACTGAACCTGAACACAACTTCTCACAACAACTCTAGCTCGTTTACTGATGCTGATGGTCTCCTAGCACATGTACAGAGGAAGCCTATACTTCAAGGGGCTTGTCCTTCCAGAGATAATTCCATTTGGGGGTGGGGGAAGTTCGCCCTCATAGATTAAGTATATAGCTTATTGACTGGCAGTATTTGGGTAAAGTGACCATACTTTGCCCATCTACTAAGGGGCTGATAAGAATAGAGTTTTATGAGATGCTATACAATTTACTACATAAAAGGACATTGGAGAGAAATAGTCCCTTTTAAGGACAATACGCAAGGTAGGCAATACCATATTCATATTATCATATTGGTACATGGACTCAACATACTAAGTGCTCAGTCAGAGACTATCACTTACAGCTGCCTGTGCTTTTTATAAGAAGGAAATCTTTAGCTATTACTGGAATGTATCTAAATTAAGTAATAAAGATGATGGTAAAGAGATTTCCTTGCTTCTTTTCACTTGAGCTGAAGCGTCCATTGTTCAAGGTGAATAACTGATGGATGATTACTATTTTGTCACCTAGATTTTTCTTATGCTCAAAGTCTCTATAGCATCATTCAACTGGTAGGTATATGGCCACAACTGCAGGGGAGTTAGAAAAAGCCATCGTTTCACTAACAGGAAATTCCACTATATTTACTAGACCTTTCTTCCATAATAATATTTCTTATAAAGAACACCACATAAGCCGGGCTCAGTGGCTCAGCCTGTAATCCCGTGCCTTTGGGAGGCTGAGGTGAGTGAATTGCCTGAGTCCGTGGGTTCGAGACCCGCCTGGGCAGCGAGACCTCATCTCTACAATAAATCAAAAAATCAGCCGGGCATGGTAGCGCATGCCTGTAATTCCGGCTACTTGGAAGGCTGAGGTGGAAGGATCGCCGGAGCCCAGCAGGTCGAGGCTGCGGTGGCCGGGAGCGGGTACTGCACTCCAGTCTGGGCAACCGAGTGAGACTCCAACTCAAAAAAAAAAAAAAAAAACACCACATGCATTAACTCATCTAATGTAATATTCCAAGCTTTTGAGGCAGGCAATTTCTACCTATTTAACAGGTGAAAACATTGTATTTTACAGAATTGCTGCAGTTTTTAAAGTCCATCTTACAGTGTGGCTAATGCTTCTTTGCCTATTTCTGCTTCTTTCTGAAGTATAAACTAAGTAAAATCTCAATACCTAGGTCAGGAATTCTAGGCATGGTCATCCTTCTTTAGTTTGTTGCCCATAACGTGACACTGATGACTAATGCTGATACAGGTTTTCTGGAATGCCAATATAAAATATACTACATTTTAATTTAGTATTCGAGTTTTTCAATACGGTAGAAATTGCAGTCACTAACTTTCACAGCCCTGAAAATATTTTTGTTAGTTATCAATTAATCATTATAAAATATTAGTTGATCCTCTGGGATGTATTTCTGTTCTGATTTATAAAGATTTTAAAAATATGTGATATAGCTGGAGGTAAAAAGGGCTAATTTATAACTCAAATGCCAAAGAGACTCTCCAACCTTCTCTGGGAATATGAACTTATATCTCCTTATATTTCTTAGTGATGGCCATATTTTACCATGAAATTGAATCACGTAATAGTCATCAATTATTTGTTCTTTCCAGATGGAAAGAGAGGCTTTCTTATGTGTAACAGTCAATTTCTCTGCAAGGCATTTTTCACAAGACAATAAAAGCAATGACTGGTCTGTTCAAATAGTTAAACATCAAATTTCCTTGTGACCTCTGACCTTCCTGTGTTTCTACTATTGAAATATAACCAGCTTATTTAGATTTGTGAGAAAGATACATACATGAGGAGTAGTGGCTTACAGATGTAAAGTGATAATACCTTCCTGGATAGACTTGGACCCCTAATCATACAATACAGACACATCTGGTAATTTATACAAGACTGTGTTGAGCAACCGCTTTTTTAAAGCAACTTAGCCACAAATGGCTTCGGAAGAAATAATGATTTATGACATATGCTAACACAA